ATAGATCTAGAAGTATATTTATCTACAAGTTTACAATTGTAAATCTATCAACAAGTTTCTTATTTCATTTCCTATCTATTTACATATTTCTGTGGTTGAGTCCAGAAAACAATACAAGGCCTAGACAACCCAGACCTATGCAAATTGCGTAAAATTGGCGTTCACTTAAAATGCGTAAAATTGGTATACACTCAAAAGGTCTGAATGAAAAATGCACTCATATTCAGGAGAGGTCGTGAAACCACCCATTTAACCCTCATTATTGCGTAAACGTGAAAATCCTCCGCTTTATTTTCTGGGTACAGAAAAGGTAGAACCCTGCCATAACAAATATCTCCGGACATCTAAAGCATAATTTTCCTTGTGGGACACCCAACTTTTCTGCGGCTATTTCATGCATGTTAAACCCTCATTTCTTAATGAAACGTGGAATGATTTGAATATTCAAATAACCCTGTCCCTTGTGCGAATATACCATTGCACACATGGAATACTAAGAAAGGATACAGCAGCCAGCACCCACCGGCAGTACTAGAATATAACCAATCCATCAGGAATACAAAGCTATCTCTCAAACCGTCTCATCTAGTCATCTGCTCATATGTCAACCTGAAGAAAAATCCCATTTCTTAGCCACTCATGTGTCAGAACGGGAAAAAGCAATTTTCAATCTCTAGCTTTTAGATAGAAAGATGACCATGTCTTCTTTGCATCAAAACTGAGTTTTTGTTGGAGGGTAGATTAAGGTTTATTCTGCTCCATGTTGTGAATAGGATCTCTAACCTTGTATCTTGGATTATACATGACTCTGAATCATAATCTTAACTACTTGAACATGAGCACAACGTTCAACTTGTTTAAATATTTGGGAATGGGTGTTCCAGGGAGAGGGTAAGGTAGGTAAAAAGGGTAGCTAGGGTAGGAGCAAGAAAGTAAAGAGAGGTGAATTGGTAGCTAGGGTAGGAGNGTTTAGAAGAAAGAGGAGATGGGGGGGTGCTGAACAGGGAAGGTTGAATTTAAATTGTTCTATTGTTTTAGTCAAAGGTATGGAAGGTATGATGGTGTATTTGGTAGGAACATTTTACATTATTTATTTTACAAAAGCGAGAAAAAAGAAAAAGTGTAGGAAAGGGTAAAAATTAGAAAGGGGTGGTGTAGGTTGTGTAAAAAGAAGGGAAATGAATTGGGAATAAATATATGGAGGAAGAGGATAAGGATGGGATTGATTATAAAAACGTGAAAAGGTGGATGAGGATTAGATAAGGATGGAATTATGAAGAGGTGGATAAGGAATAGAATAGGGATAAGGATGGGATTATGAAGTGTTGCAAGGATAAGGATGAGATTATGAAGAGAAGGATAAGGAAAGGGATAAGGATGGGATTATAAAGAGAAGGATAAGGATAGGGATAAGAATGAGGTTTATGAAGAGAATGGATAAGGATGGGCTTAAGAAGAGAATGATAAGGATAGGGATACGAACGGAATTATGAAGAAAAGACAAAGTATAGGGATAAGGGGGATTATGAAGAAAAGGATACGGATAGAGATAAGGACAGGATTATGAAGAGAACGATAAGGATAGGGATAAGGATGAGATTATGAAAAGAATGATAAGGATAGGGATAAGGATAAGGATAAATTATGAAAAGAATGATAGGGATAGAGATAAGGATGGGATTATGAAGAGAATGATAAGGATATGGATAAGGATGGGATCATAAAATAATGATAAGGATAGGGATAAGGATGGGATTATGAAGAAAAGACAAAGTGTAGGGATAAGGACGGGATTATGAAGAAAAGGATAAGGATAGAGATAAGGACGGGATTACGAAGAGAATGATAAGGATAGGGACAAGGACGGGATTATGAAGAGAATGATAAGGATAGAGATAAGGACGGGATTATGAAGAGAATGATAAGGATAGAGATAAGGACGGGATTATGACGAGAATGATAAGGATAGAGATAAGGACGGGATTATGAAGAGAATGATAAGGATAGAGATAAGGACGGGATTATGACGAGAATGATAAGGATAGGGATAAGGACGGGATTATGAAGAGAATGAAAAGGATAGAGATAAGGACGGGATTATGACGAGAATGATAAGGATAGGGATAAAGATGGGATTTTTAAAAGAATGATAAGGATAAGGATAAGGATAAACTATGAAGAGAATGATAAGGATAGAGATAAGGATAAATTAGGAAGAGAATGATAAGGATAGGGATAAAGATGGTATTTTTAAAAGAATGATAAGGATAGGGAAGGACGGGATTATGAAAAAAGGATAAGGATAGAGATACGGACGGGATTATGAAGAGGTGGATAAGGGTAGGGATAAAGATGAGATTATGAAGAGAAGGATATTGGGGGAATGACAGATCTGGAAAAAAATCGTTTTAAACTATTTGTTCCCCAAATTTCTTGAGTAAAATGGCTGGAAACCTCTAACTAATGATGAAGAGAGAATACTCCATACTAAACCATAAATATACTAAATATATTAGTCTAAATATTGAAAAAACTAGAATGAATGGGGTGTTGACTGCTGACTGCAGAATGTATATTCTGATGTTAATGTCCTGTGAAGGTCAACGTAGAATGAAATATAATTAATAATTAAATTAAATCTTAGACTTGTCCACTTGAGAATTTCAAATTTGTTTCATTTTATTTAACAATACCTCTACAGATACCTTCACACCATGATACCGAGGTCATTCTTTTCATTAAAAAAATTTAGACCACGGTTCGTTATTTGATAAAAAGAATTAAAATGGTCTTTCCAAATTATTACTGGTTTCGGTTTAAAAAAGTCAAGATCATTTAAATTAGACAGAACACACATATTACAGACGGTGATACATATTTAATGTACAACCCGTCTTTAAATAGTACATAATACAGTAGATAGCTAAAACGGTATTTATAAAATATAAATTTGGTTCGTCTCTAGAAAATTCATGTCTATTGCAAAGATGATCTTTAGATAATATGTAATTTGCGTGAAGCCCATCTTTGAATATCACATATATACGTAGAACAAAGACGATTTTTCAATAATGTCTATTCGAAGTAAGGGCCGTCTTTAAATAGTACATGTTGATATTTAAATAAATAGTTTTGATTTTTTAATTATGAGGAAAGAAAATATGTATCTGGTTACATATAATGACTATAGTTTCATAAATATTTCCATTTATGAAAACGCCAATGTAAGGATGTATCTCTAATTGAACAGTGAGATAGATAGAAAGATAGATGTTACCTCCATGCAATTTATATTAGTTCAGAATAGACAACAAACACATGACTGAACTCTGATTGGATCAGGCGCTAATGGAGTGATCAGAAAATCAAACAATAAATTTCTCAATATCTCTTCAATAAGAAGATTATACGCTTTAACAACAAATAAGTTTTGAAGATTATTCACTTTTATAGCATAATTATAAAGCTCTTTTTACAATGTAACACCTAGTCTGCTCTAAAAAGTTCAATTTTCAATACTGGGTAGACTTTGAAGTGTTGCAACGCCTTGGGCTTTGGTTTTAATCGCACATGCCACTCGCTCAGGCTGTTTTGTAGCCGTAGACCTATTTAACTTGAAAGTACTTGTTTTAGATTTAGTTTTTGAGAAATTATTGGATAAACTCTCATCGATTTTTGCATGAGAGCTTGCAACCTTTGGATCACAGTGTCTAATGTCCATGAGTTGAAAGTATTCGATTAAAATTAAAAGAATTTAGTTCAATTAATCTGTCAGTCTACATTAGTTATTCACACTACATAGGCATTATACATACAGGGTGATTAAAAAAAAGTGTGATTTGCGGCGCCTGGTGAAAAATTGAACCTTTTTTTGTGCAACTCTCCTGTATGGTGTTTTTTTCAATATTTTTTTTAAATTTGCAATTTTTTTGGTACTTCAATGGCCCCAAAAAAAAATCCGCGAACCTTTTTTCTTTCAAAAGGTTAGAAAAACAAAAATGTGTAAATAAATTGTTCCTATCGAAATCTAAAATTTTAAAAAGATTGAATCACATAATCTCAGAAAATTTACAAAATTGTAATTAGCAAATTTGCAATTTTCAGCTCTGGTCTAATTTTTACGGAAAAATTGTTTTTCAATGGTTTTAAGGTTTCGACTGAACAGCGTATATGTAATACTTTAGAATATACTAAGAAAAAAAGGAAATAGAAAATTTAAATAACTTTTCACTGAAAATTAAACCAGAACTAAAAATTGCTAATTTTCTTATTACAATTTTGCGGATTTTCTGCAATTCTTTGATTCAATCGTTAAAAGATTTTAGATTTCGATAGAAATAATTTATATATATATACACATTTTTGCTTTTCTGAACTTTTGATTTTGAGAGAAAAAAAAAGGTTCGCGGATTTTCATTTGGGCCATTACAAATGTTCAAAAAATATTGAAAAAACACCATGCAGGAGAATTGCACAAAAAAGGTACAATTTTGCACCAGGCGCCGCAAACCAAACTTTTTTTTACTCACCCTGTACTATCTAGTCCTTCACTTTAAAGTACCACACAAAAAAGGAGTCAAAGACTAGCAAACTATTATGGTTGTTTTTCTATTCTTGACTATAATTTGTCTAGAAGTTCCACTAGCCTCCTTAGTCATGTTAATGACTATATACCAACTTGTCTAGGTCTAAACCTTTTTCATACAGGTTTGAAAGACAATTGCGCTCAAAATTACTGACAATGAGTTAAAAGAATAATTCAAATTACTTTACTTGGAATTATTTCTTAAGTTTGCAGTTTTGCTTCATTTTTACACGGCCCTATAGTCTAGTGTTTTTGTCGTTATCATTTTTTATCACAACTTTAATATCTCTCTATCCATCTATCTGTTCATGTGCATATAGATATATTGTATATTTGCATAAAGTTAAAGTATTTGAAGCGTGAATTATCCTTGATAAATAAAATTATATTTCAAAGTCAAATGTTCGTTACTTACCCTAAAAGCTGTTAACACCATTGTGTTGTGTGTTTTTACCACTTTATATTCACTCACTAATGCCCAAATTGAAAACTGTGCTGAAGGAGGGTGAAAGGGGTTCACATGTTGTTTAGTTCAACTTGGTTTGTAGAATGGTTTAGAACAACTAAAGTATTTGTGTGTGTGCGCTACGCGATCTGTGCGTCACGAGAATTCAACGCGCGGTGGAGAAACAGCGTAGAGCTAGAGAGATGTGAAATATATTCAACTTACAACACTTCCGTTCCAACTCAGATAAACATTGTAAACTTACAGGAAATGGTAGACTTTGTAGAAAACGGTAGACTGTGTAGAAAACGGTAGACTTTGTTGAAAAAAGTAGACTTTGTAGAAAACGTTAGACTTTGTAGAAATCGGTAGACGTTGTAGAAAACAGTAGACATTGTTGAAAACGCTAGATTTTGTAAAAAAAAACAGTAGACTTTGTTGAAAACGGTAGACTTTGTAGAAGACAGCAGACGTTTTAGAAAACGGTATACTTTGTAGAAAACAGTAGACTTTGTTGAAAACAGTACACTTTGTAGAAAACGGTAGACTTTGTTGAAAACGGTACACTTTGTTGAAAACGGTACACTTTGTAGAAAACGGTAGACTTTGTTGAAAACGGTAGACTTTGTTGAAAACGGTAGACTTTGTAGAAAACGGTAGACTTTGTTGAAAACGGTAGACTTTGTTGAAAACAGTAGACTTTGTTGAAAACAGTAGACTTTGTTGAAAACGGTAGACTTTGTAGAAATTATCAGACTTTTTAGAAACGGTAGACTTTGTAGAGAACAATAGACTATGTTGAAAACAGTAGACTTTGCAAAAAAACGGTAGAGTTTGTTGAAAACAGTAGACTCTGTTGAAAACAGTACACTTTGTAGAAAGCGGTAGACTTTGTAGAAAACAGTAGACTTTTTTGAAAACAGTAGACTTTGCAGAACAAAGTAGACTTTGTAGAAAACGGTAGAGATTGTAGAAAACGATAGAGTTTGTAGAAAACGGTAGATTTGTGATAAAAGAAGACTTCCAAAATATATTAATGGAAAGAACTGAATACTCGCTTCGATCTCCATTTTTCCAATCTTTATATCTTCGAGGCCTAATTTTGTAAACCTCTGATATTTCAAACTATCAAATCTGCCAGATCAAATAGACAATATCTGAAATTTCAAATGTTTTAACTAACAGGTTAAAACGATATAGGGAGCAAGTAATCAGTTCCTTTTTTTAAACTTGTTAGACCTATTTTATTTAATGATGGTAGACTTCGTTGAACTAGTTGATGTTTTTCGACGATGACTTTGACTTACTTAAAAGAAAATGCAAGATTTAGCCTTCTTGCAGAAAATAGTAAACAAGTGCTTTTTTACAATGGTAGACCATGGTGGAAAAAAGCGTATTTTCTTGACAAATTATAAACCCAACCTTAGTAAATTGTTGAGTCGTGATACAGTGATAACAACAGTATCAGACATTTTATTTTAAATCAGAAAAGTTTTCAATTTAAATCGATTGTTGTGAAATAAATTCTGTCTTTAATAGTTTAATAAATACTAGCTGAAGAACCCGGCGTTGCCCGTGGAAAGAAAAATTGGAACATTTTTCATTTTAAATCGATTGTTGTGAAATAAATCCTGTTTTTAACAGCTTATTAAATACTAGCTGAATGGCTCGGCATTGCCCGTGGAATTTTTTTTTCAATTTAAAAAGAAATTTGAAAATATTTATAAATTTCAGCCCAATCGGTCCAGCCGTTAGTCTGGCTTTAGCTAACATATATATGAATGTCTTGTTTTATTATATAGATAAAAAAGTCGTAGTTGTAAATTTCTGTATTTTTAATTATTGTCATCCATGTTGTTCCGGCCAATTAACTAGAATTTCTGTCACGATTTCATGTGTTTCACCATTTATTCAAATTTAATATTACGTTTATAATGTTAGTGTAAATATTTTAAACCAGCTCAATGTAAAAATCATTTTTAGCAGAATAAGTGCACCATTAATCGTAATATTCTCATTTTTCTGTTTAAAGGAATTGAGTTTTTGCCACAACGTCAAATTTTCTAATTTCTATATCTCTGCAACCAGTGGGTATAAAACTTTAATATTTCAAACTTAGATTATTTGATCAAACAGAATTAATAGTTTGAAATATCTAAGGTCTACGACATTGGGTTGCCAAGATATAGGAGTACAAATATTTGAGTTTGTGGCGAAAACTCAGTTCCTTTGCGCATTTTCAAAAATCCCAAATATCGGCATTATTTTCTTGGCAACATATTTTTTATCTTTAACATTCTTTATCTATGTTATAGATGTTGATGGAGTTAAGTTCTCCTGATGAAACATCATAATGACAAAACAAAATATAAATTTTACATTGAAGACATCTCTTCTCACACTTCTATCAAAAAAATATTGATTTATTATATTTTATGTTATAAACTATAGATATATTTATTCATTATTATTATTATTATATGCTAAATTTTGACTGAGAACACTATGCAATTAAAATGAAGTAATTAAAAATAATTTGATGAAAAAAACAAAAGTTTATTTTGGTTTAAATCCACGTTATCTTTTTCATGGAATTTTTATGTGAAATGAGTTCAAAGAATTTACACAAACAAAGGCCGGTAAAATCCTGAATAACGATCTGATTGGAATTTTTTATTCAAATTCAGATTTAAACTACCACATTACTTTGATACTGGGATGGTTAGATAGTTTGCAGCATTATTTGCATAGTTTAGTTTAGTAAAACTTGTGTCACATCACGTCAAATTAAAGTAAATTTTACGTGAGATGGAAATTTTTGATAAGAAGATCAATTAATATGTAACCAACCATCAAATAAACTGATGTTCTTATAATTGATGTGCAAAACTAGAGAATGTGCAAAAGTCAACCTAGTAAGTTTGCATAAACTTGGCTGTATCTTATGTCTAGATTTGAGTTAAGTGCGTGAAATAATCTATTTTTTATATTAAATGTAATGAAAATATGAGCTTAGCTTTTGTACCAGAGTTTTTGGATGATTGGATTGCCTGTTACCTGAATGCTAAAAGATGCAAAGATTTATAATGTTTTTTTTTGGTTGAAAAATCACAATCTTTGTTATTGTTTAGATTAAACTGGTTCCTAAAAGTCCAAATATAATACAGTACTTCATTCATATTTTCATGACACAATCACATTGTTTAAGGTTGGTTTATTTATAGATTTTATAACAATATATTGCGGAGTTTTCCCACGGGTATAGAATATTATCAACTACAACTGGTTTGTTTAATAGTTTAGCCCCGTTAGTTCCTGTTGTTAAACAAATATAGCCTACGGGACTATATATGAGAATATAAGTAAATAGTGGTTAAAGATTAACATCCATTTAAAAAGCTTAAGATTGGGCGATATTTAACTCTTTTGCTCCGCCGCTATACAATTATATATAACCAAAAGTGAGAAAATATTTAAAAAGTATTTAAAATGTATTAAAAAATAGAATTTGCAAGACAATAATTTAAACAGAATTGAAAAAGATCTAAAGTGTAGGTTGCAGAAATCCGGATATGTTTTTCACCCTAATTGGGGGCCAAGCGCTGAGGTTATAATGTAGTGGCCGGACGGTTATAATCTAGTTTTTGTCTGTTGGGCCGAAGTTTGCATTTCCGCGTTTTTCTTACAAGAGTTTGATGGCGTCCTAGGGAGATTTCGGGAAAATTATTTCAAACTCTGTTGAATACATAACAATAGAAAAATACATATAAAATATAGGCTGCGTAAACGACAAACTTCGACTGAAATCCAAACAGGTTCAAAAAAAGGATTTTGATTTTTTCGGCCTTGGGGCTAAACTCTGCTAGGTGCTGATTGAATATAATTGATAGCAGTTTGTATTTTTGGCGTCCTAGAGATATTTCGCGAAAAATCTGTTTAAAAAGCATTAATAATATTTGTTAAACTAGCGAATAATTATGATGTCAGGAATCAGGAAACAACAGTAAATCATTCAAAGCAGTTTCTCTACTTTAGAAAATATCTGATTTTCTCAACGTTACACACATCATTTCGATTTTATTTGATTTTTTTTGTGTTCAAAATTTCTTGAAATAAACGAAAATGTTCAAAAATTCGTTAAAGGGACTTCGAATAAAAGAAATGAGTTTTTGCCACAAACTATAATTTTAGTATCCCGTTTTCTTTGCCACCCGATGTCGTAGACCTTTGATATTTCAAACTATGATTTGCGTTAGATCGAAAAGTCATAGTTGGAAATATATCCAATGTTTAGGTTATCAGGTTGCAACGATATAAGGATTAGTAAATTTGAGTTTGTGAAAAAACCTCAGTTCCTTTGGACGGAATTTGAGAGTAACTTGCCAGATTCACCGTGGTAACCCTTTATTGTATTGAAGTAAGATATCGCAATTTTTCGTTCTTAAAAATATAAACATTCTTTCATTTGCTTAATTTTTTTCTTTTGCATAAATCCACAAATCACTTTTACATAGAACCGCAATACGAAATAACTAAATTTAAGATTTAAAACAAGTAAAATGTAATTATTTTTTTTAACAGATACGTAAGTCTTTTCATATGACACAATTTGTTGAACCACTGGAGCCAAATTCAACTTACACAGCTAGCTATAGTTTCAGAAGAAGTAAATATTTCCATTTACTGTTAGCGCCGATATAAGGATTCATATCTCTAATTGGATAATGAGCTAGATAGAATGATAGTAGATACCATCTACTGCCATGCAATTTCTATTGGTTCAGAAGAGAAACCAAGCACATGGACGAACCCTGATTGGATCAGGGGTTAATGGACTCGGCATACAAGAGTGATAGTAACATTATTCTTAAAAGTTTGTTTATAGAGTTTATTCTTAGATCTTTGCAACCTGATGTCGTAGACCTTTGAATTTTGACATTTTAAACTTTGTATTCTGTGAAATATAATAGTCAAAAATTTAATTATGAAAAGTTTACACAATTATGTTGCAATTGGATATATTGGAATCAGAAAATTAGAGTGTGTGAGAAGAGTACAGAGTACAGACACAACAGTTCTCAAATTACACTTTATTTTTATACAAAGATTGATTACAATTTCAATCCTATGTTT